AATAAAAAAGTTATGGGCAATTTTCAAAATGGTAAAAAATTCAAAAAGACCCCGTATCTCAGTTGCCAGTGAAAATATCAACAGGCAGTGAGGAGACAGATTTTCTCTGTTAAAATAGACCAATTTCGACCACCCTGTACATACAAAATCGTTAAGTAAATAGTATTTTTAGTAATTTAATGCAAATAAGACTTAAAAATAAGGAAATTCTGAGAATATTTATAACGAAAATTTATATTTTTCAATATATTTTTACGGATTCCGTGGGTCCTTAATTCAAAACGCACGATAAACCACTTAACTAATTTGTCTTACAACTACAAACAGCAATAACTAATTAAATACAACACACTAATAACTCTTTGTCTGATTGTGATCATTGTCTAAACTCCTTCACCAATTAGTCGACATTTCGCTTATTTCAAAACTATTCAAAATTGACTGACTTGTTTTTATTTTGGAATAATGATGAATATACTGATAATAAATATTTCATACTAAATTTGGGATTACTACTTAAATACTACACACCCAACCCTGACCGTAACATAAAATGCGATTCAATTTTAGCGGCCAGAGTAACATGAACTTGATATACCGGACGGCAAAAGAAATAATTTTGGGGAGAGGTGTAACTTACGTATCTAACTACCATTCTAACAGTCGCATGTTTCGCCTTAAAATATGAAGTCAAACTGGTTTATGGTTCGTAATCACCATAACAAAGGTGGAAATAGATTTATTTCAGTTGATTTCCAATATGATGTACCGTAAATTAAATTATTGCAACGGCATTGGTAAGATTTATGTTATATATTTTCTAATGTATTCAACTCTGTTGCGTTGTAATTTTATTTTGTTTTATTTTAAAAGTATTGGTACTCAGTATATCCCAATAACTTAAATAAATAATACTAGCTTTTCTAGTTTAATAAGAGCTGACTGTATGTAACGATACCGTAGATATTTACTTAATTTAGTTTTTGTACTTGTATTGACACTATATTATCCGTAAATTAATTTCTTGACAACTGCAGTGCATATTATTTTGAAGTTAATTTTATTCCCTTTGAGATAAGATATATTTTGTTCGGTAAATCTTCTCCATGCTGTTTACTGGCGCACGTTATCTATAAATATTGCCTTAGAATAAAAACATAGTCTATAGGAAGCAAAAGTTATTTATATTTCGAAAATTTGGCAAAGTTCGACAATGACCTTCGCAGCTAGACGCTTATTACGTTAAAAGAAAGTGGGATATGGATTTCTGGATGGCGCTGGCGTTTGGAAAACGGAAATTTGTAGTGCCAGACATCATTACATTATTAAAAAATGCGATATTGCTTTTGGGTAGAATTTAGAAAATATACAAGTTTTTATTATTATACAGTGATATTCACGCTCACCTTCACGGTATTCGTCACAGAGTGTTGTAAAGATAAATGAATAGATTTTTAATTTTTACTAATGAATCATTTTTTTATAATTATTGCGAGTGTTGAAAGACTACTAGAACTACAATTTACAATTTCTTACAATAAGGACAGAGTGTTCCATATAAGTTAAAAATATTAGTTTTATTTTTTAAACGGGACGTCATGTATATTGAAATTAAATAATTTCGGTCTTCCATTATTTTTATACAGTATGTGCCCGGATTGTCTTTACAAGTGTAAACACTTTCTTATTATTGGCATTTTGAGAAATTTTGAGTCCTAAAAATTAAAAGGCGTTTTTATGGTAATATAATTTCGTTTTCCTTTGATAGATTGTTATTTATAGAATTTTATATTTTTCGTATTTCTTGTTGCTTTAAAATATTAAAAATTTATATAGTTCAAAGCTACGGAAAGTTAATGGAAAATGTAATGTAACAACAGCAAAAAATATGACGTTAAATTAGATTAATAATAACCAAGTATAAAGATGAAGAATGAAATCGAAATTATATTACCACAGAAACACCCTCTCATTTTTAGGACTTCAACCATATTTTCATGTTTTCTTTAATTTTTCCTTAAATGGTAATTAAAAAAATTAATTAATTTTGAAAAGTATAAAAGGGATTAACCATATTAAAACAAGCAAACCTTTTTATAAATAATTCAATTTTCTCAAAATGTCAATATTAAAAAAATATTTTCTCTTGTAAAGACAATCCGGGGACATACTATATACCGGGTGCATCTTGAAAGTGGTTCACCCCTAACTTTTTTTATTTTTTCAAATAAAAAAACGAGATTTGGTATATTAGTATAATAAATTAGGATTGATTGACCTATTCAATAATTGTTTTTGGCCACTTCTTGTTTCACCGGAAATGACTATAACTTTTGATTTTTAAATGGCACCCTCGGTATTTTTTTTATTTGATTCGATAGAAAATGACACTCTGAATAGAATGACATATCATATGTCAGCATTTGACATTTTTCTTATATGGTTTATTTGAAATTGTAACGTGCGGTTCATAACGACAATTTGATTCGAAATACCAAGTGTGGGTACCAAATTATTCGCGTAAAAAATGCTATTTCCAAATATGCTAAGGACCCACCCTTGTTCCATTTGAAAAAATTGTCATCTTTTCACCGGCCAGGACAAGACACGAAAAACATTAGACGATCAAATCTATTTTTCCAAGATTACTTGTTTAAAAATTAGTGTTTTTAACACAGCCATGGCTCTCTAGATTGAAATTTAAAATACGATTTTTTTTAAGCGAAAAGGTCAAAAGTTGATATATGATATGTCATTCTATTCAGAATGTTATTTTCTATCGAATAAAGTAAAAATATACCGAGGATGCCATTTAAAAATCAAAAGTTGTAGTCATTTCCGGTGAAACAAGAAGTGACCAAAAACAATTGAATGCGTCAATCAATCCTAATTTATGTCCTATACTAACATACCAAATCTCTTTTCATAGGTTAATGAAATGACGTCAAAATACGACAGACGACGTATGACGGATGCATGTAAACCCACACTGGATGTTTTTATGCCATTTTATTGGTTTGATTCAAAAATTACACTTCATACTAAAATTTGATTGGAGTGATGGAACGAGGCATGACATATGGTTGTATATCCTCACTTAAGTAAATCGTACTTTATAATGTTGACAGGCGCTGTCAACAGTTAATATAATTTGCTTTAACTAATGTTGGCCATTTCGTAAAATATTTTCGTTTATTGTGCTCTTTTCATTGGCGGCATTTTTAAATTGTACGCAATTCTTACTAATCTGTTTGTTAAGACCGTTTTTCAACTTTTGACCCTACTAATAAAGCCATTATTGTTACGACCTTTTCAATTTAAAGCTACTTAACTACAGTCGTGCACTGCCATACATTCCATGTGAATGCTAAATATTTTTGACATTGTATTTCATCCAGACAATGTTAAAAACATTTTCTTTTTGCAATAGAATTTTGAAATTAAACCTCATAATAATTATGCTTAATTTTAATGAAAATTCTGTTTAAACTGTGTCTCATCATAAATAGAAAATATCTATTTTTATGGCAAGAAATAGGATGAATAAACATCTAAAATATTCTGATTACAAAAATTTATAGGAGAGTGTTTCTTAATAGTGCGTTAATAAACAAATTAAATAATCTAGAGATTATGTCGTTAATATAATTTTGTAATGCTATTAATTAATCCTGACTAGTGCTGATCACAGGGGTAATACCTATACAGGATTATTCACCGCATTTGACACGGAGTATTTTAGCCAAACGATTAGATTTTTAGAAATTTTCAGTGATGGAATCGTTGGAGGACTACTAGTGTGTGTGGTACAATTTAAAATTATTTTCAAAAGGTACCAATGTTGGTAGTGTCCCAAATAAATAAAAACTATCAAAGTTGTATTTTTTAAATGGAATACTCTGTATATTATTACATTTTTAATTTCTACGATTAAAATAAAGGTAAATTTGATTGTTTACCGCACTTTAATCTTACCGTTTTTGAAACATTTACGATTTTGTGAAAATACACTAATAATTTCAATGCTTCAGTTCTCTAGGCGTATTTAAGTTTTTAAAACCAAATATTGTACTGAAGTTTTTCTATTTATTAAATTTTGTGTTGCAATAATGTAAATAATAGTACCTTTGGAAAAATACAACTTTAATATTTTTTATTTATTTGGGATACTCTGTACCTTTTGAAAATAATTTTAAATTGTAGCTAAACTCACAATTTCTAAAAATCTAATTTGTGGCGTGTGGCTATAATGAGGTAAAAAACCTTGTATAAAATATATCAGATAACTGATCTAAAATAAGCTATTGCTAACCAACATTCACAGTAGTGGCTCTAAAATGTAGCTAACAACTAATTTTAAGGCCTATTTTTACCTGTTTCATATTTAGGATAGTTTTCTAGATGTGAATATGAGCAAGTGAGATAAAGATTTCTTTTGAAAAAAATAATCACGTACTCCGACTTTTTCTGAAAAGCGAACATCGTTACATTAAATTTCTTATTTCAAGAGACTTATTTGAAATTTACTTCCAAGCCCGTAAAAGGGTAGTTCTAGGTGTGAATATGTGTGAGAGATGAATACATTTGAAAAATCTAGTCAGGTAGTCTGATCTTTTTTAAGAAATGTACTCTTTTAAATAAAATTGTTAAAACTTACGTAAACATATATCAAATTTAGTTCCAAACCCATAGGAGAGATGGGGTTAATTTAGAAGTTAATAGTATTTAAGAAGGTAAAACAGCGAATTTGAAATTGTTTAATTTTAATACAATCGTAAAATTATAAATGAATTTTAATAATTACATCTTTCTAACGGAGCTGTAGTTTTTCCTTAAATTACAATATACTATCTGAAATAATAAACTTTTATTGGGGATATATAAAATATTATCATAACAATCATCATGTTGGAATAGTAAAATGTATCAAGGCTTTTGTCCTCTATTTGAATTACGTTTATAGTTGTTAAAATTTAATACTATCATTGTTTTTGTTCTAGGTGCTGCTACAAGACTTTCACAGTGGGATGTAGAAGATTATGAAGACATTCAGCAAGATATTGACAGTTCTATTCATTTGGGAACCGAGTTGACACCCAATACCTATGTTAGGTAATTTTTTGATCAATTTCATATACATTTGTTTTGGATTTATATTTAAAATCACTAAACTGATTTAAATGTCGATTTCAAAGAAAATTGAACATAACATAAATAATTAATTTAATTAAGCATGTTCTACAGGGTCCGGCAATAGTGCGTCGGGCATATGTAGGTACTAGAATAAAAAACTTAAGAAATTTATTTAAGTGCAAACCTAAAGTATGTACAGCTGGTTCCAATAAAATTGAATACGATTTAAAACATATTTTTATTATTTCGGGCAGTATATTCTATGATACCAGTCCCCCATTTCTCTACTCATGTCATGCTGATGTTCTGAAAAATTTATTTGCCACTTTGTCAAAAGCAAAGTTGTTTTATACAATGTCACAATAACCTTAACATGTCAAAACACTTGACACATACACTGCCCAAATATTCGAAAAAAATGTGTAAAGAGTCGTATTCATTTTCTTTGATAATCATTTGTAATGAGAAATTCGGGTTAGAAATGAAAAGTTTATTATTTTATTAGTTAATTATTTAGCTTTATCTAGGGATACAACTGACTACCGCAAGCTGTTACTAGGATATTTTATTAATTTTAATTGATTTTTAGACATTGTGAATGATGGTAAATTTTTAAGTATAAAGTATAATTGAAACCACTTATTTATTCCGCCAATTTCAAGGTTCTAAATGAGGATTTACTCTTAATTTCTATGAGTTGCCTGAAATTTATGTTATTAGAGAAGGTGCTTTCTGAATTAAGCCGTGGGGAAGAAGCCGGTTACCCTTGTTTGTATGTCACTTAGTATCTGTCATTTAGTATTATTTGTGTAGCAGAAAAACAACTTGAACTCTGACGATTATAGCAATTAATTTACAAGGTTTTTTTTAAATAATAAAATAAAAATCCTAAAACAAAATTATTGTACAAAATATTTGACATTTGTGCCTACTATTTTGTCAAACCGTTTCGTATTTAACCAATGTCCTTACCGTTGTTCACCAAACTTGTTGTTCGGGATACAGCCTTATAGTACGATTGAGTAAAATTTGATTGAAAGATTGGCATGCATTTGTTTTTCAGTAGATATAAAAATATGCCCAACTTATTGATTACTTTTAACTATTATATGCTGTGATATAGTAGAAAGCCAGACATATTATTGACATTAAACTTATTGTTGAGATAATAAATTTTAACATCGTTGTGACCTTTCTTTGTATAAAGAAATTTCACTGATATCAACAATTATTTATTAATTTATTAAGTATTGATTATTGATAGGAAAAGAATTAAAATAAATAGTATATTAAATATGGGATTTTAGCCTCAATTTTAGCTTATACTAATATAATAAAAAAATGATACCATCAAATACATTAGTATTCATAATATATTTTGGGATATAAGAGATATAAAAATGCAATTAATATATGTATGTAAGTAAATGATTTTTTGTTTCAGTGAATCTTTATTAACAATTAATGGAATGCCATCAGTATTTAAGCAAGAAACCCCGTCACCCACCATGAACGACGTGGTTCAACTGCAAATCGCTAGGCAGCAACACCATAGCCCGAATTCCACCCAGCAAGCCACCATTATGAACCCAGTAAATAGTACCGTAGAAGAAAATAGTCAGAACGCGTTCAGTAACACGCTTAATCAGTTATTCAGTCAGACATCATTAACGAACATCCATAACGTCATTGATAGTAAGTATCTTTTTATTATAAGTTATGCTATTCAAATAAATAATTTATGATACGTTGTTTATTGGCTTGGGAGAATCCTACACAGCCTTATTTTTTAATATTACTGGATTTTGAAAAATTTCTACAACCAATAGTTATTATGGAAAGAATGTTAAGTTCTAAGCATAAAAATGTGATTTTTTGACTCAACATGTGCAAGCAAAATGTAAGCAAACCATTTGTTTATTATTTTTATTATACCGCAGACTTAATATTAGTGATGGGATAACTCGAGCGAAAATTGACTCGACTACTTGATTGTTGAAATAATCGACATTGCTGGATTATGAACGAGCGATGCAAGTGACGAGTTACGGGCGACGAACGCAAAACGATCCTAAAGTGAAATAAATTGAAATCCGATTTTAATGTGACATTCTCGATACAAAGCCGAGCGAATTTTCCACATAAATTGCAAGTAGCAAATTTATACGACATTATCCGTTGCGTATCTGAGTGACAAAATTTTACGACCTACTTCGACAATGCTTTAAACTAAACTAAATCAAGCGAATTACTCGTCGCTCGTCGCTTGCTACTTGCCACTTACCTTTCATCACCGAAAGAATATGTGCTCTGGGCACGCAACTTGGCTTGCGTTACGAGTTGCCAGTACAACAAGCGACGGGCGAAAAACCGAAATTTTTAAATATGAGCTAAATTTCGCTCGAGCGATCGCTCGATTATTGAAATCGCTGAAACTCGAGTACTCGATTATTGAAATTAATCCATTTTTAGATATTTCAATCACTACTTAATATAATCCGTTTGTATCTGTATATAAAAGTATTAAGTCCAAGCCCCTCCTGTGAGTGCAGCAAAAATCAAACCGTCAAACATATCGTGGAGGAATGCCCTGAAACAGCTTATAATGGCAGAGCAGAAGATTTCCTATTGGCAACTCCAGAATCATATAAATTTGTTAAATGTTCGTTTGTATTTTTTTTTCTTATTGTCATATACGTACTTTGTGTCTTAATATGCTATACGCTAAATAAATAAATAATCCGTTTTTCAAGATCTTTGAATGATGCTATTCACGTAGTTTCAGAATTTTGATAAAAACAGTAAAATAGCGTTAAAAAATATTGTGTTTATCCTAAAAACATTTAGTAATTACATAAATAGGAGTTAAATCCTAAAAACTAACGTGAAAAGTTATGCTTTAATTTTTGTTGGACATTTTTCCATATCTTGCACTTCATGTTCCATTAGACAGAGCTTTTGCCATACTTTTATATACAGATACTCACAACCTCCAAGCCGAGTTTTTTTACAAAAAAAATCACGTATGACACTTAATAAATGTGGAAAAAACTTCGCTGGTGTTATCAAATTGAATTTTGATAGGTTTTCAATTTTGACTTGTAATACATGTTTGACATGTAATATATGTTTCACATTTTATAGTAGGTACATGTTCTTGGTAATACTTAGACTAAATGGTAATATTCCAAAAATTGTAATTCAAGTTGTTATCCTAGGTAGTCTTTATAGATAAATCACCAGCTGTACACAGTACAAACATCTAATATCTAATTTCGAAATTGAAGTTATGTACAGCACGCCTTGAATGCGGAGAGCGTTCACGTTTCGTGGACGCGAATCCTTTGAAGCGGGAACGGTTGTAGAATGTAGAATGTTTAGGAGGGGAGTTAATCACCGCGACCTTATAGATCTATTGTGTGTTCCCCTTTCTTGAGTTATAACGAGTTATAACTCATCATACAGTCTCAGGGCTTTAAGAAAAGCCAGTATCTGAGACGGCTCCACAGAGGCCAGCTCTCCATCCTCGACATCAGACGTACCAAGGTTCATGGCACGAATGGTCGTCGTCTCGGCGCACTCAGTGGATAAGGTGTTCTGGTGTTTCCCCATTTTCCCCACAAAATCTGCATTCGCCGTTGTTTCTCAGTTTCAGCCTACTGAGGTGTTCGTTGAGGAGACAGTGTCCTGTTAGAAACCCCGTGACAATCCGAAGATTGTTTTTACTTAAATCAAGGAAAACCTTTGATTTTTCTCGGTCATAAGTTCTAAGCAATTTTTTCGAGTGTCTTAGACCGTTGGAGGACATCCATTCCAAGTTACGGATGGAGTCTTCCAGATTCTTCAGTTCCGCTTTCAGTTGGTTCCCGTTTGGAAAACAGAACGGTTCTGGTCCAGTTAGTGGAGTGTTCACTCCTTTTCTAGCTAGATCATTTGCTTTTTCATTGCCTTCTATCCCTTGGTGAGCAGGCACCCAGAGTAGGAGGACATTATTTTCTTTGCCTAATTTGTTGAGCTTCTCTAGGCATTCTTTGGCCAGCTTGGAATTGATGGTTACTGAGTTGATCGCGTTAAGTGCTGCTTGACTATCGGATAGGATGGCAATTTCCTGTTTTCGATAGTTCCTATCTAAGATAAATTGTACACATCTTTCGATAGCGCAAATTTCTGCCTGAAGTATACTGGAGTAGGTGCCCATTGGTTCGGAGTATTCAGTTTTCGGCCCAAATACTCCTATCCCTGCTTTGGTTTTGGAACCATCAGTATACCACGTGATGGTATGGTCTTTTATATGCTGAATAAGCGTTTCTTTCTTCCAATCCTTTTTATTACTCAATACTACAGTGAGATGTTTCTCAAAGTTGTAAATGCTTGGTATGTCATCCACTGGGAGTTGGAGAAGTGGAATTTTCTTTTTAGATGGATTCTTTTCAAGTTTTTCAAACTTCGCTTTCTGGTGAATGGCACTACTGCGATTTTATCTGAGTTAATACTCAGCCCGACAGTCCTGCACCATCTGTCTCTCAGCGATGCGGAGTCCTCTTTGTATAATATCACACAGGGTGCCTTCATGTTTCCCCCGTGCAATGATGACTATGTCATCTGCGTACCCTATGCAGTGTATTCCCGCTAGAGTTAATTCTTCCAGTAGTTCATCCACTACCAAGCTCCACAGTAGGGGGGAGGTCACTCCCCCCTACTGTGTTGTAGTTGTTGTAGTTCCTTGCGTTGTTTTAACAACTACAGTTTTGGTACCTATCTCAGCCTCTGCTGTTCGTGTTGAGAGCATTTCCCAAAACCAGCGAATTATCGTACTGTTCACCCCTCTTGTTTCAAGAGATCGCTTGACCACCTTGTGAGGTATATTGTCAAACGCCCCTGCAATGTCCAAGAAGGCACAAAGTGCTGTTTCTTTGCTATCCAGGCTTGCCTGTATTAGCTCAGTTAACTGGTACAGAGCAGATTCTGTGGATCTGCCCGCTCTATATGCATGCTGACTATCGTGCAGTGGTTTAACCTGTAGATGATTTACTCTAATAAGGTTGTCCACTACTTTCTCCATCGTTTTTAATATGAACGATATGAGACTAATAGGCCTAAATGATTTGGGGTTAGCCCAGTCAGTTTTGCCTATTTTGGGTATGAAGATGACTTTCGCTCTTCTTCAGATGGTTGGTATATATCCCATCGCTAAGCTGCTTCTTGTAATGTTTAATAGATGGAGTGTAGCTATTTCCTGACCCTTCTTTAGAAGGGCAGGAAAAATCCCATCTATTCCTGCTGTTTTATAAGCGGGAACGGTTAAACGGGAAACTAGTTGCGAACATCCGCGAACCCTCTGAAAAAGCGTGACAGTCGCATTCTCTTCTGTTCACAGATGTTCGCGGCGCGGCGCGAGTCTGGAGCCATTATTAACGATGCGATTTTTATATTACTTTGCTACTTTTTTTTATCAAACTAAATATGCTACGCATAGGTTTGTCCTAGCCTCCTTTTAGTTGCTGAAATACAAGGCGAATTTGCGATGCGCAGTAGTGAACAGATGTTGAATACAGATATGATGCGCAGTAGTGAACGCATAGAATAGCAAAATATATATTAAAGAACCAGCTTTCTTAAAATTCTCTCTTGAAAACAGCGAAATCGTTATGCAAATGAAAATATGAAGTGACACTAATCACAAGCAAATCGTATATCCAATGATCAACGGAGGCATGAAAATGCAATAAATTTAGAAACTGAACAATCAAGCTTTAATCTGGTTATTATATTTTATATTACTTGTTAGAGATTATTTGTGGTTATTATCGAAAATAATATTAAGTTAAATATTTTTTCTTAAATAAATTGGATATATGTATTTCTAAAGCAAGAAATAAACATAAAGGATCTCTTTTAGATAACAATCTATCTACCTCACCACATTTTCAAGACAACTATGGCGTTTCATCGACTAACTACGGTGTCAACGAAGACACTAGGTTTCAGTATGTATTGGCAGCTGCGACAAGCATTGCAACTAAACAAAACGAGGATACGTTGACGTATTTGAACCAGGGACAAAGTTACGAGATCAAGTTGAAGAAATTAGGCGATCTGTCCATGTACAGAGGAAAATTGCTAAGGGTATGTATATATGTTTAAATTTTTCTCTTATTGAAATGTGCCTTTATCATTCAGTTAAAAATTGTCAAAGTTCAATTAACGTAGATTTAGTTACACCTAACTTTTTTATCAGTTTATATGTACTTTTAATTGTGTCGTGTTTAACACATATTAAATTTAATTTTTATTTACCAACACTTTCTATTTAAATGTGTGCCATCCAGCGAAAGGGTGGATATTAAATTCCCTTACAACCTAATTTGCTTTCTAAATAATTTTTGAATATTACATAATTTGAAAATTTAAGACTATTTTCTATTGAGGGAATTATATATTTTTGAAGCTCCCCGTATATCTAAACAACATAGTTAAATATTGACACAGTTTACTATGATGCATCAATATTTTCCAATAACAAAAACTTCTGCGAAACCTATTAATTTTAATTAAGCTTAATTTTTATTTAGCATTTTCTGCAGCAACAATATTTTGGATGTTAGTTTTTATTTATAGAATGCAATTTAATCAATTTTCCAACAAATAAATATATTTTTAATTCAAAATGTCCAGATTTTTTTTTATATAATTCTAATTTTTAAATAATGCAAACATTATTAAATGATGTTTAAATATTTTTAAACGAGTAAAGAATTTAAGATATTTATATTGATCTTTAAAAAAAAATGTGTGTGCACTATGTGCGAATATTTGAAGTCAAACTTCTTCTTACTTCCATCTGTCCGTCTGAGAACTACATTCGAGTACCTCTACCCACGTGTTGAGTTTGGTTCCAATCGATCCATAATTAAGAAAAATCCTGATGATTTCGTCCATTTAGAGGTATCGGTTCGAAACGTCGAGGGCGTCATCTTGTAGCCCATCCAAAATTATGCCGAAATCGGTCCACATTTTTCTTCAATATCAAACCCTTAATCCCACCCTGATGAAGATGTAAACGAAACGTTGTATCCAACTGCACGGTAGGACCCTGTGCACCGTCTCTCACATAGCCTAGCACCAAATTTGGTCGCGATTGGACGACATCAACTTGTTGCGTTTCTTACATCAAAACTAACTGTCACAGCCACACGTGTCGTACACGTTAAAGCTGGCCTCGGTCGAATCTATCAACATACCAAATTTCATTTAAATCGGACGATTTTTTGATCTGACTCATTGATGATGGGGTTTCGTAGAGCACGAAACCAAAATATCATGAAATCGTCAAAATATCATGAAAAAATGGAGCTTGAAGAACCACATCTACATTCTGAGTTTCAGCCCCCTAGCTCACTTAGGGCCCGAGTTACGGTTACGACACTACGCTCCAAGATCAAAAAGTCAACGTTACCGCTTTTCCTTCCTCGTCTAGTATGTCACGGCCTTCAATTTTTACTCCCATCGCGCGTAAAGAAGTTTTATTTCAAAAAGTAATATTTGTAAAATAATTGATCCCTGAGGTCAAGTTATACATATCACAATAGCTGGTTTATTATTAGCTTTGGAGTATGTTAAATGTTATAGATTTTACAAATCATAAAATAGCTTTCAAAGAGGTAAGAAATACTTTGCAGGTACCTGGTTTCCAAAACCTAACCTCTACACCTCTACAATTGATATAGCATCGATTTATAATCAGGGAATTATATTACATCAGCTGTTTTTTGCTACCAAGTTGGTTCTGCTTTAAATAAATATTTGTGATATACATTCTTAAGGCATTTAAAGTGAAGCGTAGTTCTGAAAGAATGTATTATACTAAGTATTACCTATTTGTATATTTGAATTCAACATTTTTTTTATTTTTTTCTTTGAAATATTATATTCTCCCACTGTACAAACCAGACCTATCTAGTGTTTTTTGAGTAAGAAGAGAAAATCTTTAAAGACAGTGCTATTACAGATTTTCTACGGAAAATGCATGCGATCTAAAAAACATCTGCCAACTTAATTACCAGTGCAATGGGTGACTTTCTTATATCAAAAAGAGCACAATTAAAAAACAAAAAGGTTCATGTCCGAGCATACTTCTGAAAAAAGACATAAATATCTTTGATTTGTTGAATTTATTCGAATTAAGAAAATCACCTCCCAAAAAGTTATACAGATTTATTCCCAAAATGCGTAAACGTTGTGCAAAGGAGAATGTTATGATAAATTTTTAATTATATTAACAATTCGTTATTTGTTTCAGTCAATAATACGCATTTGCTTCCACGAAAGACGCCTCCAGTTTATGGAAAAAGAACAGATGGAATCATGGCAGAAAGCTAGACCCGGAGATCGTATTTTAGAAGTAGACATTCCGCTATCGTACGGAGCTTTTGACATCGTACAGCCCGGAACAGCTTTCAACGTTATTACCTTTGTCTGGGATCCAACCAAGGAAGTTGGGGTTTACATAAAGGTGATTTATCATTACTATATGCTAATCCCATATCATGACAACAATAAAACAACTAAATCAACACAATACACCAAAACACTTTTACTTTTGCACTGGACAGTGCATTTGCGCATTGTTTTGGTATATGTGGCGAATTAGTGTTTTATTTTGCTGTTGTAACACCAAAGGTTCCAACACCCAACTGTAACCATGTCATGACACTACATATATTTTGAATTAACTCCGTTACTTGGTGGAACTTCGTAAGCAAACGGAACATTAAACAACTGTTTATTAAATTCCACTATATTCGACTTGACGCTGGAGTTGTAATCTTCCGTTTACATACATTTTTATCGATCTTTACATTATTAATATAGTTTTGATCAGTTCACCAGTCTAAAGGCCACCTTACAGTCAGCAAAAGTTCTGCAATAGTCTCACTGCAATTTTAGCATGAGATTGCACCTTTATTGCAAATTTGCTTTACAGTCGCTAAGACATTTCTGCAATGATGTTTTGACATTTTAAAATTGAACTTTTTTTGTAATTTATCTTGTCAGTTTTGCGATTAGTAATGTTAGTATATTATTATACATATATTAATCTTAGTATATTATATTTATATAAAAACGTGTATATTATATATAGTAAACGCCACGAATGTTTGGGAGTGATTCATCGGTCGCTACCATGTGAACTAATTTGTTCAAGATTACATAAAACTTAATTCCAGTGCCGTGGTGTTTCAATATATAATCTGTTGTAATTTGTTGTTTTAACTGTCAAAGTCTTGTCCAAACATATATTTGGTTATAAATATAAAATGGAATGCTCCATTGGTCGTCGCACTGCAAGCACACCAATGGACTGACGCACAAAAACGAATTAATCAAAGAAACGCGATATAGTATCGTCTTTGTCAATCACGCTAACATTTTAGAATAAGTAGGAGGAGCGCAGGCAGATGATTAGACCGGGCCTTTAAAAACTTACATCTGCGGTAAAAATTTACGTTTTTAATGTAAAAATGATAGTGCGCGTGTCGATTCTAACTTCATCAAGTGATCAATCCATAGATTTAGGAAGAACAGATATCACATTATGCATTTTAACCCGATCAAACATACGGAGGTTGACTACGTACTGTAAAAAGCAATTGAGATAGAGAAGGCGACATTGCCACATATCAAATTTGCGCCTATCTACTTAGTTTGATTTGCAGAAAAGGTGACTTTAAAACCTTCACCGTATATCAATAAATCTCAATTTCTTAATTAAATTAATAGTTTATTTTTAAAGAAGCATGCGTAATAATATGTTATTAACCAGAGGATATATGGCGTTACTATTAAAGGACATGTTTACTGTTTAATGTGCTGAAACGTCTAGAACTATTGACAACGTCGCTGCTAGTCTTCCAGAATGAAATGAGCCGTCCGTCCCACCACCCCTCGCGACGGCTCATGGTCCGTTAGAGCGTACTACGTTCAGCTTACGGTGTGTTTGAAGTCGGAATCAAGTCCAAAGTGAACTTTTCAGTGTTTTTCAGTAGTTTTTGTTTTTGTTTAATGTACTTTTGAATCTGCAAATTTTTAATATGGTACGACAGTGTCAAATGTGTGGGCAAATAAGCTCAAATTACCCGAATTTGTCTTTCCACAGGTAGGTATTGTTTCCGCCGCGCCGTAATCGTACATAGGCGTCCCACAAGGGAGCCTCTCACAATTAAAATAATTTCTAATTATATTTGTTGAATTTTGATCTATTAAAACAAGAACGTAGTAGCCGGTAATTGAATTATAATTCATCTCAATTACTACCTAACTGTTGTAGATCATAACAAATTTGAATATAAACGTTACATTTGAAACTTTATTATAAGCCAGAAAGTGACATTTTTTTCTTAAAATTGCGTCCTATTTTGGTCATTATATACGATATTCTAAAGGAATTTTGCTCAATAAATAAACAAAGGTATTTACCCGTCCTTTTTTACATTTTATTGCTTTATTATATCTGCCCCTTCGGCCTTGTTTAGACAATTTTTTACCACCGTACAAATACGTCTTCCTAGTTGTACGGTGTGTTTAACTTTTTTTAGAATGGGACGAACTGTAAATAATTCTTGGGCTACTAGTTTTATACATACCTATATTATAGAGAGTGACCCAGGCCTCCAAAAAAGCTTTTTACCTATTACGTTTTTGGTTTGTGATTTTTATTTCAATTTTTTACATAAGATGGGGGCCATTGTAACGCATATTTTCCAAATATTTTTGTCAACATACAGGGTGATTCAAACCGCAATACATATGCTTAATACAGTTCATGAAGATTAGGACATTTAACTAAAATTTGATTATCTGATGAAGTAATATGTAAGATGATTAAAAGTAATGGATTTGTAAATAAACGTAACAGGTATTCATTATTATGCGACAGAAATCCCATACTGTAGCACACAGATTTTATACTTTTAATGATAAATGCCTTCTATTGCGAGACTAAAAGGCAATTGCCTCGTATCAGAGCCATCATAATACAAGAAGAAGACCGAAAGAGTCAAATCTTGTCTTATATTTTCAAAAAAAAACACAATTTTCTCATTAAATATTGATTTTAGGTATAGGAAGTTATTAATAAAATACAAGATTAAACAACTATTACACGGTACTTCACAGGAAGCTATCGATTGCAAACTAACTAAATCGTTACTAATTAGGTACTAATTTTGAAAAGTTCTTTTTAAGATAAAAAAAGGTAAAACTAAAACCTAAACTATCATTTGAGATTAAACGGGAAGTTCTAATTAATGTTGCTTATTCTAAACAAGAAAAATTTATTTATAAGTTAAGTTTTATAACATTCCTAATTAAATTTGGGCGAAAAGAATATTTTTGTTTGCTGTAGGTAATTTTCTCAGGGAAAATAAGTAAATAAAAATGACTTTTTAAGTCAAAAAAAGTCAAAAGGACAAGTTATTCCAAAAAAGGACAAGTGGCATCCCTAGGTATTTCTGGAATGGAAATTTAATGGCAAATCTACAACTTTGGTTTGAAAATATTTTCCGGCCACCTATGTTTACAAAAATGTCTAAAATGTGCCTAAATGCCTCCATATTCTGAAAAAAAATTGAAAGAAAAGTCACCAACCACAAACCTAATATAGAACTGTTTCGGAAGCCTGAGTCACCCTGTAAATATTCAAAAGTAACTGAAAGTTTATATAGAAGTAACTGAAAGTTTAAATTGAAAATCGACGTTGGAGTGATTTTCGAAAACTACTAACGTTTCAACATAAGTATATATGGGATATTAACTGTATTATTATATTAGACCTTATAACAAAACTCATCTGACGAAAAAGTGTTAATGTAGTATATTAATATGGAGTAAAAATTTTACTAATTACTTTACTTTTACTTTACTAATTAAATTCGTTCCAAAAAACGATACGCCACTGGCCATTAGAACAATTCAAATGCGCCTAGTTGCCAGGGTCGGAAATTTTAGACTTCTCTGTCTCTTCTGTCCTTGTTTGACACATTGGAATGTTTGATACACTACCAACGAGTATTTATGAATGAGATGTTCGGTCTATCTTTATAATGTCTTTGGATCAATCACTCCCAAACATTCGTGGCGTTTACTCTACACACGTTTATTGTTTTTTTGTCAGTATTGCGATTAGTAATGTTAGTATATTAATTAAATGCTACAAGATAATGAAACGTGATAAAACAATAATATTTATAAATACTTACCAAGTTATCACGTTGGTAAATAAACAATTGCTACAAAACTTGCAATCATAATCGAGCGAGACTAATTTCCTGTAAGTTGTTACTGTTGCAAGAAAATTGCCTAAGATGATCAGTTATTTTTGAATTGCGCATGGCCTTCCATCAAGAACATTGCACATTGCAGAAACTACCGTGTCTGGTTTGCTTCAAGAAATGGTATATGCAGCCTTGCAGCACGAATTTGAATTACAGGTCGGCATATTGTGGGATACATTACAGATATTCAAAAAACAATAATTACTTTAAGGAATACTTGGGAAATGTAATAACTGTTAACAGAAAAAGTTGCTCTATCCTCCAATGTTTATATTCAAATGAACCATAAATAGTGTTTTAAAATAATAATAATAAAATTTAGTAATAAACCATTTAAAATCAGACGCGTCTTTGTTGTCGACCTTTTCAGGGAATTTGCATATATTTTATGTACAGGGTGGACCATTTTAGTTGTTTCTATAGGGTATCTAGGAAACCGTAAGAAATATTCAAATTTTGATACTGCAGTCTCGGGTTCTTTTTTTGAAAAAATCACAATGCCGCAAACGGATCGTGGCTATCTTGATGGGTTTCGAAGCTACAGGGGGATTCTCAAATTTCGTACTTTTTAAAGATGTTCGACAGTTTGTTTATTTCAGCAACTACGCAAAAATGAATTATACATTCTAAAAGCACTTTTCTGTGTTGAATGCAGTGGCGTAGTCAGACTTTTTTCGAAAAAAATATTTTTTTAGATATTAACTATACTTCTTTTTTTTTTTAATTAAAACCCTCTGTATATTTTTAAATTTCCTGATTCAGCTTGGCATGGGCTTCTCGAAAATATATAACACTATATTTATTGTCACTATTAACATCAACATTTCAAATTTTTCTTAAAATATCCAGTTAGTATAATAGGCCGCGCCGAGTAACAAAGTAAACGGTTGTCATGGTGATCGGCACATACCTTTGGTAGATGCGTGACATTTCATTTCAACAGATTGAAGTGTGTGTATTTTAAATAATAAAAAATGAGTAAATTTGAAAATTTTGAGAAATGTAATGTTAGAATGTTATAGAGTCTAACAAACATAAGCAAATAGCAGCTGATTTATATTTTGAGCGGTATTTTGAGCGCGAGCAACCAAACCCAGCCATATTTAAAAGGTCAGAAAATAGTTTAATCCTAGCCACCTAGATCACCTGATATCACTCTCTTACACTTCTTTCTCTGGGG